ATCCTCGTGTGCTCTGGACCGGGTTTGTCCCCAGCACAGACCACACTGAGCTTCCTCCCCTCCTTCTCTGCAGCTCGTGCTCAGGTAAAGCACACACACACCGGGCTCAGCAGTGCCACCTTCCCGGCACACCCCCCACAAAAGCCAGGAATTGCCAGGGAATGGTTTCATTTCTATTCCTGCTGCTGCCATGGATTGACTTTTGTGGTTTTATAGGAAAATCGGGGGCTGAGGTGCAGTAGCCCCACGTGTGGGATCAGGCTGGTGCTGTTGTGCTCCACGTTACGAATGCAGAGCAGCAGCAAACCACAATTCCGGCCGAGATAAATTTAGAACAAAAGTCACATCCTTTCATTGTTTTCATTGAACTTCTGCAATGAAAAATGACATTTAAATTTGGGCACTCTGAAATCCTGGAGTTTATTTTACGCTTTGCTGCTGAGCTCTGTGGTTTCTGTGGCACCCGGGAGAACACAATGAACCCTCCAACACATTTTTAAACGCTAATGCTCGTTCCTGTTGTCTCTTTTGTAGCACTAATTGTAACTTAAGCTTAACCTAATTCCCACCAAGCTTGTAATATTTTCTCAGTGTGGTCAAACAGGGGGTTCTCACTTTTCAATCTAGATGGAAACAAGGGATTTTACCTTAAAAAGATTTTTCAGAGTCAAGGTTTGCTCTGAGTGACCTTCCAGTGCTGCAGCCTCAGGCTCTGCTTGGATTGTCTTGGCTGGGAAGTGTGGGAAGCAAGGAGAATTATTATTTAGAGATTTAAGGACTGCAGGAATAAACTGGAAAGCAAAAATCGGGATTAAATGGATGCTGATGACAAAATAGAAAAACACCTCCCTAAAGCTGAGTGGGCTTTAATTATTCACAGCACGTGCACTTAGTAGGGTGGATAAATAGACAGCAAATCCCACCAGGTCTTGTAGGACAGATTTAGATCTGAAAAGCAAGGAAAAGTTATTTCCTAGAAAATTCCAGCAGCAGGGTTGAGAGCAGGTTCTTGTTTAGTGGCTGAAATGATCCCTGCTCAGGCCATGGTGGGAAACCTGACTGGTGAGAAAAGAACCAACAAAATCCTCCCTGGAGATGGGAATGATTCCAAATGAAACCTTGATTCCTGTGAGTTTTCATCCCGACTGGATGCCTCAAACAGGACCCTTTGTTATTTTAGTCAGTCAAGGGTGCTGGAGGGACCCCCAGTTCAGAAGAGGGAGATGCTCCCAGCCCCAGGCACCACCACGTAAGTGGAACTTTTTATTTTTGGCCTGGATTTTTCCATCTTCTGGTGATGGGTTCTTGTCACCCCCTTCCACCCAGCTCTGCCTCTTGAAATGTAAAAATCACTGAGAGAAAAGTGCTACACTCACTGAGCTTCATATATTCACACATAACTTACCTGTTTCTTTTATCTATTCATATTAAACAAGATCTTAAAGAGTCAACATAATTTTTTTTTTTTTTTAAAAGCTTTTTCCGGGTGTGTTCCTTTTCTTAAAATAATTAGTGAGTTTATGTTCAGTCTTCTTCCTCTCTCTTGCTGCTTTTTGACTTTCTGCAAGTACCTTGGCTCAGGCAGTGGAACTAAATACACACAGAATTATTTTTACTTTGTTGATTTACTTGTGTTCTGAGGAAGGAATCGTTCAGGTGGAAACTCTACAAAAGAGAAATGAAAGTGAGAATGAAAACTGGTCATTGCAATGTAACAAAAGCCATGAAAATATTTGTTTCTTGTTCTGGTTTTTTTTTTTTTTCGTTCTGCGTTCATAAAATCTAAACCCAACCTTTGGGTGTGCTATTTGCATTTTATTCTTCATGGCTTTCAAAATGCTTCAGAAAAATCATATTTTCATCAGAAATACAAAATCTGAGAGCCAAACCCTTATCTGCTGCAAGGGAAGATATTCAGAATTCATCTCTCAGTAATGAGAGATAAAACAAGGTTCTGTGTACAGACAGTTCCTTTAAGAGGAAAGCTGAAGTTGCTTTCAAAACTGACATTTCAGAATTTCCTTTTCTCAATAACTGTAAAATTATTTCTCTCTCTTCCTATTTTCACAATGTCTGATGACACCAAGGTTATTTTTAATGAATTATGTTGCTAAAAGCATCCTAAATATAGAAGGGCCTTGTCTTGTGACACTTAATCCTTATTTCATATACAAGAGTTTTGTGAAATGATGTGGCTAAGGCACCAAAAGCTTCATCCCTGGATCTATTTCATTATTTTCATGAGCAGCCAGCTTCCTTCCATTTTTGTAAATCAATTTATTGTTCTTCCTCCTCCTCTCCCTTGCCCTGGTGTAAAGCAGAACAGTTTTATTCCACAGAGGAGCTCAAGGAAAATTGGATCTGCTGCTGAATTCTTCCTTTTTTGGGGATTTCTTTGTAAAGGATTTCCTTAAATTCTGCCCTAGTGTCTCTGGAATGCTGTGATTCTTCTCCCCTTCCCATCCCTGCCCCTCTGCACCCTCCAGAAATTTCAGCAGCACTCCAAAACTCCTGGGCTTAAAAAATCAGCCTTGGACCGAGGTCTCCTGTAAGATAACAGGGAAAATATTGTCCATTTTTCTTTTTTTTTTTTTTTTTTTTAAATTTCAGTGGCACTGCTAATGTTGAGGGAAGACAAAGCCAACTGCCAGGAGCAGCTCCCCTTTGCAATAAGGAGCATTAACATCTTTCATTCTGCATTTCCTGAGCTGCTCCCATCAATATCAAATATGCCAATTTCCTGCCTTTCAAGGTTAATATGAAACACCTCAAAGAGATTATCTGATAGGGTTTGAGTTGGGTTTTTTTTTAGTTTTTTGGGGGTTTTTTAGCCTGGAAAATGTATTATGGATATTTTTTAAAAAGTGTTTTGTCTGCCTGACATCAAAGCCCCCCCCTGCTCTCAGCCATGGGGACCGTTCTGCTTTGGCACGTGTGGGGAGGAAAACTCTAAATTTTACACCCACAGAGCAAAGCCACAGATTTCCCAGAGTGTTTCTGAGGGTTCCAGGCTCTTCTGGCCCCTTTGAACTCAGCTCTGTCTGGGCTCAGTCCCAGAGCTGTGGTTGTTGCTGCAGTGGAGGTGAACATTTACAATTCCACCAGAGAATCATTTCACAGGTGAGCTGAGCCAAATTCCAGTGAGAAGGGTCTTGGGAACCAACTGCACAACATTCCATTTGTTTTGTGTCCATCCTTGTGCTGGGAGAGCTCCTGAACCCCCTGGGCACTGCAAAATGTCATTTTCCAGGTGAGGAAAATGTGTCCTGCTCCCATTTTTTTTTTTATTTTATTTTTTTTTTTCTCCCTAACATATTTATGGACCCCACCGAATCTGCTTTGCTGAAATATAAATAACTGATCCCCTCCTGCACAAAGATTGGAATTTTTTAAGCCTAAGAGCAGATCAATCCAGGTGTGAGGAAATATTTACCCACATATATGGATCTTTGGAAAAAGAAATAATTCCAAAAGCTCATATTTAGTGGAGTTGAGTCTCCTGGTCAAGCCTGAATGCATTAAATGGGTTCTGTGATTTAAACATGGAACTTTTTAAAGACTGGGTAGCAAGAAAATCTGAATTGAGTGAAAAAGGCAGGCAGTAGGATTGTTGTCCCCTCTCATTCTTGTTTCCCCCAAATTAGACAGGCTTGAACATTTTTTTTTATTTTTAAATGCAAGAGGTGTATTTACATTCTGTTTCTCTAGAGTTTCTGTGTTGAGGGTTTTCTCTGATATCTGAAAATGTTTTTGTTTTGAATGAAAGCTAAGCACATAACCCCAGGCCTTCAGAAGAACACCAAATATTTCAAGACTAATGGTAAAATTCCCAAAGCTGGAAAAATACACAGCATTAAGCTTGGGCCACGGCCTGAGGGCAGATGTGAGATTTCCAGCTTTTCAACATGGCAAATTTGTGCTGTTTTAATGATGGTAATAAATAAAGCCATATGGAGGTTTTGGAGGTTTTCTTTGCATAAGAAAAAAGAAAATCCTATTTGCAAACACATTTCCTGGCAAAAACACCCTCATTTACTGCTTTCCAAACAGTGACAATTTCATTGGTTGTTCCTCTGTGTGCCAGCTATAATTTTTCTTGTGTGCACTTCAGATATATCCTGAACTTCTCTGAGATCCAGAATCTTTCCCTTTACTCTAGACAGATGCCTTGTGATTGTGGTTTTTTGGAAGATTTCCTGTCTCTTCTTTTGCACTTGAACATGAAATTTTCTGTGATGCTCTGGCCTTCCACAGCCAAACCCCGTGGTGTTAATTTTTGGGTGGAGTGTTGATCATTCACAGACAATTTCTTTTCATCCTTTGCTTTATGGAGTCTTTTGATTTTTTTTTGTCCTCTCTCAGATATTTCCCTTGCACTTTTTGGGTGCTTTCCCTGGTTGGGGTGCAGACTCTGGGGTTATTTCAGTGGGCAGTGACTCTGTGCCAGTTCTGTGCTCCCCCAGCAGCTCCAGCACACACATCAGTGGAGTTGTTCCACTCAGGGATGGTTTGATCTCTCAGTCTTTGCTCATGGAATTCCAGCAGGGCTCCTTCCCTGAGCCAACACTGCAGGAGCTCATCCCCAACCTCTGCAAATCAAAACCTGCTGGGCAGCAGGATTCCTCCCTCCCAGGTGGCCTTTCATTTTTTAATTTTTTTTTTTTTTCAAATTCTATTTTTTTCCTCCCTAACATATTTACGGCTCTCCCGAACCCTTCCTATTCCTCACTAAAAATAACCTGTTTGAAACCTCCACAGACTTTAAACGCCACAGAGAAGCCTCCTGCCCCATCTGACAGCGACCCTGGGGGCCAGAGGAGCAAAGAAGGCTCCAAAGACAAGAAATCCACGCTGGAGCTGGGCAAGCAGAAGGGCAAGGAGCAGCCAGAGCCCCGGGAGGGACCAGCAGGTGACCCTGACTCCATCCAGAACGGTGGGGACACCAAGGAACCCCCCTACAAGAAGGCAGAGAAGAGGCAATCCCTGGGAGGCTTCTTTAAAGGCCTTGTACGTTCCTTTTTTTTTTTCCTTTTTTTTTTTTTCCCCCTCTTTTTGCCATTTCCCAGCTGCACGCAGGGTTTGGTCCGTGGGGGATTTGTGCTTCAGCTTCAACAGCAGGAATTGGGACAAAGAACAGCAAGGTTTTGGGAAAGGAAGGGAAATTCAGGCCTCGAGGTGGTGATTGAGGCAGGATGGGGTTTGGGGATGAGTCGGTGTTCCTACGAATTAATTAATTTGTGTTAATTAAGGGAAAGTGGAGGTGGGGCTGGGATATCCCTGCCAAACAAAATCCCTGCAAGGTCAAAATCAAGGGAGGTGATGAAAATCAAAGCTCCTTCGTGGAGTTGAACAGAAGACACAAATTTAGATTTATTCCAAAAAGGGAGATCTGGAGGAGTGAGGAAACACCTTCAAAATTCATGAAAGACACAGAGAGAGGCAGGAAAGGTGGCTTGGATTGAAAGGGCAAGAAAAGCTTTTAGGTCAAGGCAAGAGGAATTAAACAGAATCAATGCAGAGGAAGCAGAGATGTTCTGTAGGATTTCTTTTTCTTCTGCTTGCCCCAATTTGCCTGTGCAGTCCCTTATCTTCTGCTGCAATTATAGAGAGTGCTCCTGCAGCTTCCTTCTCCCATTAACTCTTAAAAAAAAAAAAGACATTTTTGACCGCAGTAAAGTTGATTTGGTCAGTTTATTGTGCTCCGAAGTGGCAGCAAACCACATAACAATGAGGAAAACTTCCACGGAAAATTATTACCTGTCTTTGAATAACACCAAGAGCTCAGAAACTCATTCTGCAATGCTAAAAAAATCATCTCCTCATCTCCGAGTAATCATTGATCTAAAAGTATGAGATCACACACACGTCAGGATAATGGCTGGATTGTCTGGGAAGAAGTCAGCAGAAAAATTCAGCTTTTTGTTGATAAAATGGGAGCAGGAGATGTTGAAGAGGGGATCCAGCAGCTCCCCCAGCCTGTGCTCACTGAACAATCCTATTCTGTATTTTAACACCACCCCCTCCTGGATCCTGATTCCCCTGGGAGTGGCTCAGAGCAGGAGGATGTCACAGTGCAGGAATGCAGATTAAAACATTACAGCTCCAGCCTCGGCTCCCAGCTGGGTTAAAAATGCTGGAATTTTGGCTACAAATGCAGAAATTTTGGCTACAACTGGAGCCTATTTATGCAAGTAAACAGCATCACTGCCCAGCTGCAGGGCTTGAGCACAGATAAGGTTGTTCCTATAGTAAAAGAGATTAATTTATAAACTGTAGCAAATGTATTTAGGGAGTCTTTGAAAGATTAGATTAGAAAGGAAAAGAAAGGGGGAAAAAAAAGATTAATAACATTGTTTCCTGAGCTGGAATAACTCATAGTCCAGTTGTCAAGAGCTGGGAGTTCTCAGCACGTGGAAAATATTCGGATTTATTCTGAGTATGTGCTGCACTGACCCAGGCTTCTCCTGAGCAAAATCTGGGAAAAAAAAATAAATACTCCAGCACCACGATGTTGCTGTGTGTGCACTTTAAAATGCTCTGCCCAAACCAGCACGTTCCAGCTTCAGTGTCACAAACCTGGGGGTACCTGAGCTCCTGAATCCAAAACCAAATCCCGAATCCCAGGGCAGAGCTGGAACCTGTTAAAAACGGCTGAACAAAGTTCTTTCATTCACACAGGGCTTGGAAATTCCAGTTCAACAAGAACCATGGGCCGGTCTGATCTTCCTGCTTTAATCAGCAAGCACCTTGAAAATGGGTGCAGCAGGAGACTGCAGTGAGCAAATAGCAGTGACCTCTGCAAAATGAGTGCTAAATGAGGCAAAATGGGGATTATCTCCAAGGAGCCTCCTCTCCTGTCTGCTCCCTCCACCCTTTTATAGGAAGAAAGGCAAATTGTATCATCTTATTTATCAATTTATTAATTGTATCCCTTGATCAGTTTAGAAGTGACTTCGTTCATGCTCAGACAGGAGCTGGAGCTGCAGACCCCTCTATTCCTGTGATGTGGGAAATCTTTACCTGATGTGGAGGTTTTTAGGGTTTCTGGGGGAATTTGGAATGAGTAGCTCACTCAGTATAGGTTGGTGGATAAAGGATGAATTTGCTGCTGCCTGTAAATGGCCAAACCCTTTTATTCTGCTCCAGAGCATCCTCCAAACTCAACATCAGGGGAAGGAGAAGCCAAAGCACTGCAGCCAGCTGAGCTGCACGGGGTTACAATCAGTTTTAGGTGGGATTTGTCAGTCCACTGTGATTTTTGGCTACTTGGATCCTCCAAGGTGAAAGATTAAAAGAAGATCAGTGAGGTGGAGCCCTATCAGTGTAAAAACCTTGCTGGTTTTACTTCCTTAAAGGGGATGAGGGAACTGGAGACATTTCACTCTCTGTGTGTAACACAGAGCTGTCCTGAAGTGGCAACTCAGGATTCCAGGAAAAGACAATTCACACATTATTCTGCCTGGTTCCTATCCCAGGGAAAGCACAGAGTCAGTCACCTTTAGCTTTTGTCATGCTGGATTTTCAGTTTACCATGATTTGGGCTACAGACAGCACTGCCACCCCACAGTGGTGACAGTGACCTCAAACACTGCTTGTGGGTTTGTGTTGTTGAAGTTTTGGCAGCTTCAAGGCTACCAAAATTAGGCCAAGCACCTTAAACCAGAGCCAAGTTTTTATCAGTTAGTGAAAAATGTAGTTGGTATAGTTAGAGCTACACATTTCCTTCATCTAAGCTGGATTAGTGTCTTGGAGCAGTTCCAAACCCAGAATTAGGTTTGCAGTGTAAAAAAAGCTTTATCACTCCAACATTGTCGAATACCTGTCATGCATAAAAGTATTTAATGTTCCTTTAACCTAGAGCAGAGCAGGGCTGGCTATAATACACCATTCATCATGCTCCAAGGACTCTTAGCAGGGTTGCAGTGAAGCGTTTAGGGCAGGGAAATTTTAGAGAAAGTCAGGCCAAAACTCCAATACTACAGGCACACAACAGCCTGGCTCTGCTGTGTGAGCCCAGGTCCTGAAAACAATTGTTTCCACGCCCAATTGAGACAATTCTATTAAAATAACCCCCACGTTTAAGCAGAATCACAGGCAGGAACTCTGTGTGATTCTCATGATGCAGATGGTGCTCGTATACTCGTGCATTTTAAATAAAGGGTAAATGAAGAGAAGCGGGGAGATTAAATCAGTGGGAAATATTTAAATCAGTGGGAAATACCTGGTAACAAAAGTCTAAGGCCCAGCTGCAGACCTGGCCGTTCTGAAACGCTCGGCAAGCTTTCTGAACGTGTGCCTCTCGTTGCACAGGGCTCCAAAAGGATGTCGGATGCAGAAGTGCAGACAGACCCCGTGTCCATCCTCCCTGCTGGCAAATCCAAGTAGAGCCCAGCCCTGGCTGCTGGGGGGAGGCTCAGCAGCTCTCTGGCAGCTCCTGGCAGCAGAAATGACTCCTTTCCCTTCCCCTGGCTGGCAGCAAACGCCCGAGGCTGAAGCAAACACCGGGGGCATCCCTGCAGGTTGTGGCTGGTTCGTTCCTCACCTGTGGGAAGCAGCTCTGAAGATTTCCCCAAGGAATGTGTTTAAAGGAAAGGGGTGTGCATGGTTTGGAGCGGGGAGAGTAAGTCAGGGCTGAGGGTGGCAGAGAATTCAATAAATGGCAGAAAAACAAAGCACGTGCAGAGGAGGGCACAGGCAGCGCTTTGGAGAGCTTGAAAGCAGCCGGGAAAACCAGAGATCCCCTTGGTTTAATCCAGGGGATAAATTTAATTTATTGCCCCGGGATAAATGTTCTGCTTCAACGCCAAAACAGCCGAGTCACTTCTGGTGGGGTTTCGACAGAGCTGAGATTGGAGCTGAGCCCTTCAGCCTGGCAGAATCCGTGCTGATCAACCCCTGCTTCCTCTTGGTTATTAATGGAAATTAAAACGCTAAAAATGCAAAGGCTTGACGTGATTGAGGCACTCCTCTCTTGGCCCGGCGGGGTGGGATAACGAATTAAAAGTTATTTAAGGTTCTAATGGGACACAAGAGGGCACCCACGTCCCCCAACGCCGGGCCGTGCCTGCCAGCCGGGAATTAATGTTCCTTAGATCATAGGAAACTTAGTTCTTCATCCTGATACTTGTTTATATCCCTGCTTGTAATTAATCCTACTTAAAAAAAAAAAAAACAACAACCAACCAAAATCAAAGCTGCCCAGGCAGCTCTCTGCTTCACAAGACTCCTGTAATAACTGTAGGTAATAAATTTTACAGAAAATTAAGGTTTCTGTTTGTTCAGTCCTAGCCTGTACAGGGAACCAGGGGCCTGACATTTTAATCCACACTGATCGTAATGCTACAGTACTGTATATTTTGACATCCTTATCTTTAAATAAACTAATACTTATCATTTGAAACAAAAAAGAAATCAGTTGCTGCTTCAATTTTCAAACAAAGTTTGTTATTTATATCCCTGTGTTCTGGTGGTTGATGTGACATTAAGACATAAATCAAACAAACCTTGCCTGTGGAGGGAATAGTTGTTGTTTTCTCTTTATTTGAGTGAAGATGACACCTGGAAAGCAAAGGAGAATTCTGTAAATTCTGCAGAATTATGTTCCTAGCTAATCAGAGAGGACACAGGTGAGAAGCCCCTGCAGTTCTGCAGGGTTTTTGCTCTGGGTTCTGCAAACCTGCAGGTTTGGGGTGTCCAACCAAAACCTGCTGCTGCTTCTGTGCATAGAGAGCACGGAGCAAAGGTTCTTTAGTTAAATTTCTATTTTCTATTCCCCTCCCTGGCACTTTGATGCCATATAAAGGGTTACCAATCCTTGGGGATTGCTCACAGGTCTCCAGCCTGAATCACAACCCCCTGCTCGTCCCTCTGGGCAGCACCAGTGACTCCTGTGCATCCCCAGCCTGAAAGAATTGGGGTTGTTATACCCAGCTTTGCTCCACGAAAAGAAAAAAATAAAATAAAAATAAAATAAAATAAAATAAAATGTGTTTCCATGAGATGAGATTGAACTGAATAACCCCCGTGGTTACCCAGGGGTGTGGGAGTGCCAGATGTGAGACAGGGGCTGTTATTAGAGGAGAGGGAATAAATTGTGATCAGCCTACTTCATACTGCTGTGATTAACTCAGTAGGAGTACTTAGGAAATTTTCAAATAGAAATCATGATCTGGGTACTCAATTATATTAGTATCATAGAGGTTTTGGGTTGGACATTAAAGCTCATTTCCATCCCACCCCTGGGGTCACTTTCCACTGTCCCAGGGTGCTCCAAACCTGACAGGAGAGAAACACAGAGGAGTTTGAGATAGTTCAAGAAGATCAACACAGAGGAGTTTGAGATATTTTAAGGAGTTGAAGGAGATCAACACAGAGGAGTTGTGGCTGTGGGGACTGAGCCCATGGAGGGGGAATAGCTCTGAATTCTGTACAGTCACCCACCGTGAGAATATCAGTGAAGAATCTGGATTTGTTATAGACTCCACCTCTTCTGGATAACACACCCTGGGCTTTACTGGCAACTTCATCAGCTCAGCAGTTCTGAGAACACAAAAACAGGAAATTCTGCAGCAGCCCTGACGGAGGCTGAAGATGCAGAAGGATTCCTTAAAGAAATGTCATTTTCTCAAAACCCATTATCAAAAAGCCTCGAAGAAGAACAAACCTCTTATCAGCACTCTTTGCTTTTACTTCATCATTTCCTATGAAATCTCTCACCTGCTGGAGGGCAGAGGAAAGAACCTCGTGCACGGGAAGCACCAGAGATTTGACTTTAAACCGGAAAGGGACAAAGTCCAAATTCCTTCTTTATCACAGCCAGAGGGAGCAGGTGCTGCAGAATCCAGCAGTGCCCCTTCAGCCACCTTTACACACAGCAAGGTCCTTTATTTATCACGGGGCACGGGGAATAACCGGGACAGACCCTGAACACAACGGCATTTAAACCACAATTCCAATTCTGCAGACTCATCTTTGTTCACCAATTGCAGGGATGTTTGTGATTACTTCATTGGAGTTGTTTGGAAAACACAAGGGAAATGAGGATTAAGCTGAAGAATTTTCTTTTTTTAATTTTTTTTTTTGCTGTCAGCAGTTTTGAGTCCATTGGAGAAATGGATTCTGTGCTGGTATATGTTGAAATTTTATTACTTCTGTAAATGAAACTGAAGTAGCCCAGAATGTTGGGACTCTGTCGTCACAGGAAGTTTTTTCTCTGCAGCTTTTGAGCCCTGCCAATGGCTGCCATGAGTGAAGGAAAAGAATTGTTTGTGAAAAAATTGCTTGCTTGTAAAATTGAGCTGAAGCAATCTTTTTTCTAAATTTTTTTTAAATTTATTTTTTTATTATTTTTAACTACTGCTTCACATATTGAAAAGGCACATAATTATCACATGCCCTGTTCAGGAACCCTTCATCAAATTCAGTACTCAGGGCCAGATAACTTTATTACTCCCTGTTTATTGCCACAAAATGCTGTATTAATATTCACAACCCCAGTCACAGAGCAGAACCAGTCTCAGATATTACAGAAAAAAATTCCCTTTACCCCAAGAACCCAGGATTGAGCCACACCAGAAGGATTTTGGTGCTTCCAGCAGTGAGTGGAGCAGCCCTGCCAGAAACACAGAGACACAAATTTAATTCCAGTGAGACTAAATCCATGCAAAGGCTTTTATTGCCATTGTGACTACACTTGAAAATAAATTTTTGACTCTTTTCTCCCACTTTGTTGCCTCCACACAGTCCTAGCACAGTAAAACTGCCAAGAAAAAAAAGAGATTTTTGTCAATCTGCTGAGGGGGGTCTGCAGGTGCCCAGAAGGGGTTAAGGACTGCACTGGGCTCAGCCCAGTTGGGTTCATTTGGGAGGTGATGAGAAGGTTTAATCTCCTGGGAGGGATGGGGAAGGGGGGCAGAACTTCAGGAATTTCACAGGAGCAGGTAAGAGCTGAGCCCAAGCAGCTCTGGGGTGGGTTTGGGTGGTTTTTTTGTGGTTTTTTTTTTTGTGGGTTTGGAGCCTTCTCAGCCTTTTTGTGGCTTCCCAAGGAGACAGCAGGGCTTGATAAGGGTTTATGGTTCCAGCTTTCTCTGGAGTTTGGGGGGTCATTCCCCTGGAATTTGTGGGGTGAATCCTCTGAAATTTGTGGGGTGATTACCCTGCATTTTGTGGGCTGGTTCCCCTGGATTTTGTGGGATGGGTCCCCTGGGGTTTTTGGGGGTGATTCCCCTGGATTTTTTTGAGTGGTTCTCCTGGATTTTGTGGGATGATTCCCCTGGTGTTTTTTGAGGTGGTTCTCCACTGGTTTTGTGGGATGGTTCTCCTGGATTTTGTGGGGTGATTCTGTGGTTTTGTGGGATGATTCCCCTGGATTTTGTGGGGTGGTTCTCCTGTGGTTTTGGGGTGATTTCCCTGGATTTTGTGGGGTGATTCTGTGGTTTTGTGGGATGGTTCTCCTGGATTTTGTGGGGTGGTTCTCCTGTGGTTTTGGGGTGTTTCCCCTGGCAGTGCTGTGCAGTTCCTTGGCTCCATCCCCACCAAACCCCTCTTTTGGGAAGTGCTGCCCACCTGTACCCCAGCACATCCCTCTCTGCTCTTCCACATTTTTGCTGTTAGCCAAAATGTGGCCTTGGCCACCTAATTCAGCCCTGACAGCAAAAATAACTCTGACCTCCTTAAATATCTATTTAAAGGTGAATGGCAGTGCTAAAATGTGAATTTTAGTACAGGGCAACATTTATCACAGAAATACCAGGTTTTTAAAGTTGCCTTTCCCTGTAAAATGTGCTGGGAAGGAGAGGATGGTGACACTGAAGCCTCTGAGAGACCCAAACAGGGCTGGTATTGAGAGTTTGGATGTGAAAAAACGATGGATTTTGGCTCATCAGCATCAGAAAAGCTTTCTTGGTGAAGGAAATTGTGAAATATTCTTTCTTGGGTTAATCTTGGTGGGAGATTGTTTCTGTTTTATTCATTCTCAACAAACAAAATTACCAGGGTCGCTTAAGTTTGTGACTGCCTTGATTAGTGCAAAGAGATGAAGAAATGGTGTAAAAAAACCCGAATTCTGCTTACAGAGCACACAGGGGCTGTGGCAAGGTGAGGGTTAAGGGAAATCTCCTTTTTTCCCTGGTCCTGTGAGTCAGTCACAGAGCTGACCTGCAGTGATGTAACATAATATGGACATCGAGGCTTTTACAAATGTCACTTTGAAACAAAGCATGTGCTTTTAGAGAAAGTTGTTTGTTTTAACTGAGCCCAAAATCAAGCATTCATCATCTTGTCTCCTGTACAGCATATTGTTCTAGCTTGGAAAAAAAAAAAAAAAAGAAACTAAACCATATGCTGAAAGGGGAAGAATTCAGAAAAATTTCCTCACTTTCCATCCAGTCTGTGCCTCTTTTTTTTTGGTTTGTTTTTTTTTTTTTGAGCTTCAAGGGGGGAAAATGTAATTGCTGTAGACAGGGTAAAGATGGTAGTTGCTATTCCCAGTCCTTTACACAGAGTAGGTGCTTTCAAGAACTTGGAAACAAACATTGCACTAAAATTACTGCTGGTTCCTGGCAGAATTGCTTGTAAATGTCTGTATTGGAGGCTGGAAATAGAATTTAGGGGTTTGCAGAACGTGTTCCTCAGGCTTGTTGTTCACAGATGTAGCTTTGTTCTTACGGGCACTCGGCTGCCAAGAATTTCCTCAGCAACTACTGATTCTGCAGGCTGCAAATTCGGGGGGTTCTGCTGGTAATTTCTGCAAGAAGTGAGTGTTTTATAAATGTTGATTCCTTGGCATTGAGATGTGCTGGAGGTCACCCCAAATTGACATTGTTAGATCGTTTTTAACTTCACCTTGAATTTAATCCTAATTGACTCTTCGTAAGGCTGTACTGATGGTTCCTATAAAAGGTGAAAAAATATGATGTTAGTTTGGAGTCAAATCATTGTTTTTGTGGGATATTGTCTGTTTTCAATTTATTGTTGGACTCCACGTATCAACCACATTTATCTAAGTACTTTTTTTGTATCTGACTTCTTAATACATTTAGTTGATCTGTGCCCTGCCAACAAGAGAACACAAAGTACTCCTGGAAGATCTCAATTTGCAATCTGAGATAGTTAAAACTAATGTAGCAGCCTAGTTGTTATCACCAACAGCCATCTCAGATATTTAAAGATTTTTGTTCCAGTTGTTAGCCTGAATTTAAAATATGCTGATAACTGTGTGTAGAAAAAAAAATAAATTAAAATTAATCAGCAGTTTTTGCAAGATAATGCAGTGTTGACTTCAAATCAGACACCTCCAGGAGGAGAATACTTTATTCTTCCTACACTTATTTATCCTTCTTGGATGCCTTGGAGTTGTTTTTACATTCAAGGCAGAGATATTTAGACAATAAGAGCATGCTTTGTTTAA